GATGTTTTGCCTGCCACATTGCATTATTTGCTTGCTAGCTTAATGTCATTCCAAGCAACAGTGTATTCCCCTTTCATTTGACGCACAGTCGTCTTTCCAGTGACGTGACAAAGCAGCCTTGTAGATTGTCTGTTTTGCATTATGTAATACAAATGAGGAGTCTTCATAGGACCTAGTCCTACTGAGGATCCGTCTTTTTACCTTTTAGAGCCCAGCAAATGATACTGACCTTGTATTCAAGTGCAACCGACGACACCTGAATCCTGTATTTGTCACAGCACCAATATTTCCAGTGCAGTGTTCCCAAAAGCTTTGGCTTCTGTCATGGTTTCTTCTCCAATTTCTGCTCCTCATCACCAGCTGAACCACCTGAGCTTTTTGGAAAGTGCACTGACTGTGGATCTATGGAGGAAAACAAAGTGAAATTTTTATTCTGTAACAGACAGTCACTTGTCGTCATATCATCACAGCGGTAGCTCACTAGGTCTTATACAGCTACCCATGCACTACACTTCTAAAAAGATGGTTCTTCAAGGGTTCTGTGGTAAAGAAAATGATTCTAAATGAAACCACAAACACTCAAAGAACCTTTTGCTTATGATTAAAGGGTTCTTTTGCATTGAGAAAGCATTCTTCAGATTGATATGGGTATGGTAAGACATTTTTTTGAATAGGGTACCAGATAGCACCAAAAAAGGTTCTTCTATTGTTACAAGCTTGACATTGTAACAGTAGAAGAACCCTTTTAGGGTTACATGAAGCTGTATGGAACCATCCTAGAGATTCTCCATCAACCTGAAGAACCCTTTCACAATGTAAAGAACCATTTAATCATGAAAAAAAGGTATTCTGAGGGTGTGTGGTTCTATATAGAACCATTTTCTTTACTAAAACCCCTGAAGAACCATCATTTTTAAGAGTGTACACAGTACTGTGAAAAAGTCAGAGGTCCACCCTTTATTCATTGTATTTTCCAGTGAGTACAAGTCAGTCATTTTTCAGGCGATCTTTCTGAAGAATTATGGTAATAATTTACATAATTATGAGATAATCAAAGAAAAATAAGTGAAAAAAAAACAGAAGTTTGCACACGTGGCCTACAAAAAAGTATTAAAATATGTGGAGGACTGCTGGAATGCTGGAATGCTGGCTATACTTGTGCTGTAGCCTGGAGGAAATGGACCCCTAACAACCATGCAAAACTGGGTAGACCACCAAAACTGTCCCCATCCCATAAACTTACAGCTTCTTTCTGACTTCCTGTCTTTTACACTTTACAGAGTGGACACAAAGTTTGTGGACACCTGCTCATCAAGGCTATCAACGCTCTATTGCACAATGTTGCCTCAGGGCAACAAACCCATTTTCCTCGCTTTACAATAATATTATACATATTTAAAGACAACAATACAGTTAACAATAAAGGGAGGAGCTTGACTGAGTCAATTAAAAGCATTTACTTGGTCATACTGTCTCTTAGTGGGCGCTTTTTAAACATTCACAAGAATTTTTTCTTGCTGGAAGAATTTGCAGAAATATGTTTGTTGCCTAGAAGCAACAATGTGTGACAGTTCAATCAATTTAGCCAGTCAAAAAACAAGTCTCACCACTTCAGGGAATATGGGTCTACATCATTTCTTCTCATTGTTGCACAATGTTGCCTCGAGGCAACATCCCCCAAAAGAACCCCAGCACACATTACTGTTATTAAATGTTTTTGATTTTAATAATCAGATCCATTTTATGAAAGAAAAGTGAATCAAACTTTTTTTTAATCTCTGCTAATACGTGCAGGGTTAATAGGGAGCTACTCCCTTTTTGCTGCAGTAACAGCCTCTTCTCTTCTAGGAAGGCTTTACACTAGATATTGGAACATTGCTGCGTGGATTTGATGCATTCAGCCATAAGAGTATTAGTGAGGTCAGGTACTGATGTCGAATGATCAGTTCTGGACACTCCAACTAATCCCAGAGGAATTGGATGGAGCTCCATCACTTCAGAGATCACAGTTCTACTGATCCACAGCGCAATGCTGGGGGCTTTATACCCTTCTAGCATACATTTGCCATTGGGTTTGGTGATTGTAGGCTCATGAGCGGCTGCTCTTAAGTGCCCCATTCTATTGGTCAGTGCTTTTTATGGAGATTAAGTTTTGTGTGCACAGTTAAATGCTTGTGTCAGTAATATGTGCACCTTGAAGTAGCTGAATTCACTAAATAAGGGGTGTCTGGATACTTTTGGATATATATTGCCACTTAACTAGTCCTGGACTGCAATTTTCATTTGATGGCAAATCTCCATTCAGAGTGCTGTGTAGTCCAGGACTAGGCTTGATCCCTGTATGGAAAGCCTGCCCATAGTGTGTATGTCAGTAAGAGATGATGAAAAAGGCTTCTGTGCCTGAGTTGCTTTTGTTTTTAAACAGTGGAAAGAGCAGCATCTACAGCGTCCATTCACTAATCATAATGACATCAATATGGCATCAGTGGAGGAGCTGCAGACTGAGGAGTTTGTGCTGTAGTGGGTTTTTGTGTGGGTCTCTCTAATGCGTCACTCTATAAAACGACTTTATGTCGCCATCTAGTGGATCATTTGCTCGGTGCATCTTAAAGAACAATCCCGTTAGAAAAACAAGCGGAAAATATGTCAAATGTGGAGGGAGGAGGGGGAAAGGCAAAGAGGGTCCTACTGTACACAATTAAACGACCTCTATGAGTTAATATGGGCATGAAGTAAAACAAACAAACAAAGAAATAAGAAAAAGAATACGTTGTCTGGTGCATGTACCTGCCAAAAAAAATAAATAAATGACTATATAAATTAATTAACTGAATTACTATTATTATTATTTTATTTACATTTTAGCTTTCTATTGGTTTACCTGTCTGCTTGCTTGCTTGCACGCCTTTAGTTACTTTAAGCTTTGTCTGAAGGGCTTTTAAATGGCGAAATAAAAAGCAGATTTTATGTTACTTTTATACTGTTCTTGTAATTGTATGTATTTGTTGTAAACTGTTTATTTAGTTGTTTGTGTTATTTGTGTATTCACTCGTGTCTGCCGCCTTAGTTCCTCTTCTGGCCTTGCATGTCTGCGCTTTCATGCAATGGAGAGTTACCGGCGCTGTCCGCTGGGCGGCGCTGCGCGCTTAATCCGAGTCACGTGTCAGGCAGTCAAAGCAGCTCGGTTCCAGCGTTTATTATTTTCCACCCGTATTCCGCCAAGCCCCGCCCACCCGCTCTCAGCTTTAGCGTTCTAGAACAGAGCGGTCCCACAGACGGTGAGTATCACCGATTAGCCAATCCCAGTTCAGGAGGCTGGTCAGGCTTAACCAGTCATAGCGCGGACGGGGCGGGGCATGTCGAAGTACAGTTAGGAAATAAATAAATAAATAAATAAATAAATAAAGTCAATATTACTCCCACATAGATTTGTGCATCTACTAATAATGAGCACAAGGATTCTAATCAGTGCGCTCTAAATGTAGTGCACGCTGGCGTTACGGACACCGATAAGAAGTAAGACAATATGAAATTATGAAGTGTTATTATTGAGTTATAACTGGTCTAGCAGGCGCTCCCGTGCACTTTAATTTCTCTCCAATAGAGCAAGCTAAAATAATAATTGGAACATTGCTGTGTGGATTTGATTGCATTCAGCTATAAGAGTATTAGTGAGGTCAGGTATCCATCACTCTCAAGAGAACACAGTTCTACTGATCCACAGCGCAATGCTGGGGGGCTTTATACCCTTCTAGCATACATTCGCCATTGGGTTTGGTGATTGTAGGCTCATGAGCGGCTGCTCTTAAGTGCCCCATTCTATTGGTCAGTGCTTTTTTTATGGAGATTAAGTTTTGTGTGCAAGGTTAAATGTTTGTGTCGGTAATATGTGCACCTTGAAGTAGCTGAATTCACTAAATAAGGGGTGTCTGGATACTTTTGGATATATATTGCCAGTTAACTAGTCCTGGACTGTATTTTTCATTTGATGGAAAATCTCCATTCAGAGTGCTGTGTAGTCCAGGACTAGGCTTGATCCCTGTATGGAAAGCCTGCCCATAGTGTGTATGTCAGTAAGAGATGATGAAAAACGCTTCTGTGCCTGTTTTTAAACAGTGGAAAGAGCAGCATCTACAGCGTCCATTCACTAATCATAATGACATCAATATGGCATCAGTGGCATCAGTGTGCTCTAAATGTAGTTACTGACACCGATAAGAAGTAAGATATTATGAAATTATGAAGTGTTTTTATTGAGTTATAACTGGTCTAGCAGGCGCTCCCTTGCACTTTAATTGCTCTCCAATAGAGCAAGCTAAAGTAATAACAAGCTAATAAGACAATAATAACAACAGTGGTGATTTAGCAGCCGAATTTGATAATAATCTAAAACAAATAGATTAACAACAACAACAATAATAATAATAATAATAATAATAATAATAATAATAATAATAATAATAATAATAACAACAACAACAACAATAATAATAATAATAATAATAAATCTACATATAACACAAATACCAATGCTAATATTATTACCTTTATTGTTACTATTGTTACTAATCATAAAGATAATAATAATAATAGACTTTCCCTCTGGGATTAATAAAGTGATCTATCTATCTATCTATCTATCTATAAAATACTGATGCTACTACGTCTAATACTTCTACTACTACTACTACTACTACTAATAATAATAATAATAATAATAAGTAGTAGTAGTAGTAGTAGCAGTAGTAGTAATAGTAGTAGTAGTATATTCTGAATAATTATATGTTATCACAATAATATTATCATGTACATTATCATTATTTTATTAATTGTTATTATTTCCTTAAATAATTTGCATATAATTCATCAAACTTTTATATAATCAGTGATGTGATGAGTCATGTTTGCTGCTGTTGAGTGTGTGTGTGTGTGTGTGTGTGTGTGTGTGTGAGACTCCGTGCAGTCGCTCCTAATAAAGACGTCACACTCCGACCAGCCCCGAGTGCGCAGCTCCTAAAAAACTGGAAGGCAGCTCAGCTCGAGCCTGGGCCGCTGCGCGCGCTGCGGTGCTGCCCGGGCGCTAGCGGGGGGGATTAACCTGCGCTCCCTGCGCGGAGTTTATCCGGAGGCTGAAGAGGAGGAACTGTGAACGCGCAGCCATTTAACCGCGAGGACACGAGAGTCCAGAGGTATTTCACTAACTGTCCGTGCGCGCGCGCGTGTGTGTGTTTGTTTCACAGCAGCAAATCCTCTGCAATGTTGCACGCGTGTTTATAGCCGCGTTCCGCGTGCGTGCTGCCATTGCTAGCACGCGCTGGTTTGCGCGGAGCGGCGTGTTTTCTGCTGTTTCGCTTCTTCGCTGCACTGAAAGCTTCTCTGCCATCTCAGAAGTGTTTCCGAGCGAGGCTGAAGTTGGCTTCCTATTCGCCAGCGTCTTGCTCGAATTTTCCCGTTCCACCTTAAATGGTGCAAGCAGTTACATGAATGCTTGCACCATTTAAGGTGGAACGGAAAAATTCGAATAAGAAGCTGACTTCAGCTTCGTGTTTTTTCGACGCTAACGGCTCGTGCTGTTGTTGCTCGTGAACACCACCACCACCACCACCACCATCTCCCCCCGCGCGCCCCCACTCTGCTTTCCCTTCACGCGCTGCTGCTTTGACTCACATTTTATTTAAATACATATTTTCATTCGGATTGAAAAAGACATCGAGGGCTTGTTGTGAAAGTGCACTGCGCACTTTTTAGCCGCGAGGAGGAGGAGGAGGGGTCACGCCCACTTCCAGTCTCGAGACGAGAGAAGCTGCATGTGTGTTTTTCTCTCCACACACATGCCCTGACGCACACACACGTGCACGCGCCTCCGTGATGGCCTTCACGCGCACTATAGACCCCCCCTTTGTACCTCCGTATGAAATATCAGGGCTTTATGAGGAGAAAGGCTCTAATGCTGTGTGTGCATGTGAGTGTTTTTCCAGGAAGGGCTTTAAACCCCTTTAAAAATGGTGAACGGCAGTTGTGCCGTGCTGCCAGCAGGGGGCGCCCGAGCGAACAGGTTCACAGAGTGAACAGCGGTCAGTGACAGAGTTTGAGTCATGCGTGCTGTAATTCCCATGTGTGAGTGTTTGTAGGTGTGAATCACTGCAAGTAACGGGAAAAGCTCTCTTATTCCCGGAAAGCTTCTGGAAAGCTGGAAATGCTGCTATATGTGATCTTATCACATCTGGAGGAGTACGCTTGGCATTAGCTTGAAATAGCCTCTGTAAAAGTTGTGGGCACATAAAAAAAAATGTTTAAAGGCTCATGCCCCACATTTTTTTTTTCTTAAGGACTTTTTTTTTTGACGTCATAGGAACTCAAAACATTTTTCCTAACCTCTCTTTATCCACTGGAATTACACAGGCTGATATAAATAAATGAGCTCTGCTCTGATTGGCTGTGCCTCGATTGTCTTGGCTGAAACACTCCTTATAACGTCAGTGTGAATGGGCGTGGCTAAACTGCAGTAGGCACAGTAGGTGAACATACACCAACCAGCCATTGTCCATTTTATCACCTCCACTTACTATATAGGTGCACTTTGTAGTTCTACAATTACAGACTGTAGTCCATCTGTTTCTCTGCATACTTTGTTAGCCCTTTTTTACCCTGTTCTTCAATGGTCAGGACCCTCACAGGACCACCACAGAGCAGGTACTATTTGGGTGGTGGATCATTCTCAGCGCTGCAGTAACACTGACGTGGTGGTGGTGTGTTAGTGTGTGTTGCGCTGGTCTGAGTGGATCAGACACAGCAGTGCTGCTGGAGTTTTTAAACACCTCAATGTCACTGCTGGACTGAGAATAGCCCACCAACCAAAAATATCCAGCCAACAGCGTCCTGTGGGCAGCGTCCTGTGACCACTGATGAAGGACGAGAGGATGTCCAACACAAACTGTGCAGCAGCAGATGAGCTATCATCTCTGACTTTACATCTACAAGGTGGACTGACAAGGTAGGAGTGTCTAATAGAGTGGACAGTGAGTGGACATAGTCTTTTAAAACTCCAGCAGCACCGCTGTGTCTGATCCACTCATACCAGCAAAACACACACTAACACTTGTTTCGGTGTTCTTTTTCCTTTATTGGGTATTCAAATAAGTCATGTATGATTTTTAATTTTAAAAAAGAAAATAAAGAAGGTTTTGCATTATCTTGTTATGCAAAATGTGCCATCGTTCATACATACAAGTATGAAATATTTTGGAAATTTTTTAACATGGGAGAAAATCACTGCCAGTATACTTGGGGGGCCACCCAAGTATAGCCTGAGTGTGGGAAACACTGGGCTTGTAAGTGTGTCTTTAGTGTGTTTGAGGTCATGGAGGTGACACACACACACACACACACACACACACACACACAAACTGTAGCATCACTGCCTCCAATTACAGTGATATTGTTTTGTTCTCTGCCTCAGGAATGCAAGTGGCTGTGGCTCATTAGAGCTTTGTGGATAGATAAAGACAAAAATAGAAGCTAGTATTACAGTCATCACTGGAGCGTGTTTCCCTGTGTGTTGTGTAAGGCCTGTGCGTGTGTGTTGAGTGTGTCCTCCTGTGTTTAAGGTGATGGAGGAGATGGATGAAGCATCCAGCACCCGGCTGTGCCCCACTAAAGCCCCCCGCAGCCTCATGAAGTGGAGGAAGAGGGTCAAGTCTGAGTACATGAGGCTCAGGCAGCTCAAACGCATCCGCAAGGCCGAGGAGGTGAAGGTGAGGATGCTGGAACGTGCCCTACCTCACTTAACACCCACCTGCATTATGGCTGGCGGGGGGTCACTTTGCAAAACATCGGAATAACAGTGTATAAAACAGTTAGTTCCAATCTGATTGGTTGAAAAGTGTTGTACTCATGTTATTAGAGCTGGGTATCATTTAGAATGCTTTGATACTGATCTGTTCATTTTGATACCAATTCCTGAATAATTCTTTCTATTTGATGCCTTATTCTGAAATAAAAACCGACAGTGGATGTGGCTAAAATCAGTGTGGGATGCTGGAAGTTGGTATATTCACTGAGTGCAACTGGCTACAGACTAATCAAGAAGCGCTCAGAGCAAGCATTATGGAATGTAATTTGCACAGCCAGTCAGAAGTCTGGAACAGGCTAACCAATGGGTCATTAAACAGTTAGTGGTGCAATACCAGTGCTAAGGTTATCACTTGCAAACATGTCCACTACTGAAAAAATTATTAGTTTGATCATCCCTCAAAAGAGCTCAGTAACACTGAGATTAATAACTAATCATCACATTGATTTATCAGTCTACTCAGGCTTTAGCAGAGCTCAGTAACACTGAGATTAATAACTGATCATCACATTGATTTATCAGTCTACTCAGGCTTTAGCAGAGCTCAGTCACACTGAGATTAATAACTAATCATCACATTGATTTATCAGTCTACTCAGACTGATGTCCTCTTAAGGGTTCATCTAATGAGCTGATACATGCAGTGTGCTCATTTAAAAACCAGCATCAGTGGTGTTTCTTTTTAAAATGTTATGTGTTTTTAATTTAGTGGTATTTTAAAAGTATTTTCCTTGGACTGTTCTGAAATTCAGAACAGAACATTTTCTAAACAGAATGTATTGCATAAACACAGCAAAAACATTTGTGGAGACAAAAAAGAAAGCATGAATTAAGAAAAGCTCACCTCTTACCTTTTTATAGTGCTTACACTTGATTGGCAAGTTTACAAATCAAGTGTTTATACACCTGACGGCCATGTTCCATCAGTTCACAGGTGTGGTGTTTTGACAATGGCAAAGAAGTGACATCATGTTAATTTCTGTGTCTAATGTGGAAGAGTGTGTTTAGTGGTCTGCAAAACACAGTGTGTAGTGTTTTGCTAAAAGTGTGAGGCTGAGAATGAGCTTTAGTAGTGCAGATCTGGGCTGAGGTTTTGCTCCTTCAGTTCCAGGTTTGACTGACCATGTTACTTTTAAATTTAGCATTTAAGCAATCATAAAAAAAACTGTAAATGATTTGAAAAAACAAATGGAATATCACGAGATATATATATTAGAAATAATAAGACGTTGTCATAATGGCCTGAAATCCAATCAGCTAATTGTTACTATGCAGTTAATGTGGTTCTTGTTGTTTACAGGTTTCCTATATTTGTCTAAATTTGTCTTCGTAAACGTGGTTATTCAGTGTCCTTCAGATGATGCCCATGAAATACTAAGAAAAGCGTATTGTGAAGTATTTTATCCTGACAGCAGTAAAATGTTGCCATATTACTCACCCCTAACTCAAAGCTCTCTTCACGTGGTCAGTCATGTTTTACCTCATCTGTGTTATCACGCCTTCATCACCTGCTAATTTAGATAAATTTCGCTAGTGAGACAAGTGATTTTGTCCCCCCTGCGAAACACGTTATTATGTGTATTTGTGTACATAAAAGTCACTTTGGCTGGCTCATGTAGGTCCTTTGTGTGTGTGCTCGTACGATCTAGGCGCTGTTCCTGTCAAACAGGCGTAAGATTGAGGGACGGACGGACCTGCTGAATGAGGAGTGGTCAAAACTCAGAATCCAGGCCATTCCTTTCTCCACACCGAGCGGGTCACTGCCCAACAAGAAGGTCAGAAAGAGAGACATACTCAAAGGAAGATGTTTAGGAATAGAACCTGTCCACAATTAGCATTGGTCACTAAGGTTACACGAAGGTCACTAAGGTTACCATTTATTTGTATGGTGCTTTGTAGATTCTCACCTAGTGTTCAAATTGAACTTAGATTGAACTAAATATCCACTGCTTTCACCTTAAATGAGAATTGTTCTTCATAATTCAGCCGTGGAGATGTAAACAAAGTCATTCTATGTGGTTTGATGTGAAATTGTTAGTTGTAAAGAAACACTGACACCTGTTTCTCTACACTGGTGGTGACAGGAACCAGGGTTCTCCATGTCCATACTGCACAAATGTAGGCATTTTATTAACCATCCTAAACCAGTATAGAACCTAGAAGTCTTCTGAGGTTTTATATGTAATGTTGATGATGCTAATAGTCATAAATCTGAAAAAAAAAGAGTTTTCTTTGGGGATTATTTTGCCTCACAATGCTCTGCATGTACCTCTGTGCATTTCAGGCTGAGAAGTTCTGTAAAACAATGTCTCAGTCGTTAAGCAGCATATTCATAACCATTTTGTGTAAAGACATTTTAGAGACATTAAACTCTTCAGACGTCTGGTTCCTATCACCAACACTGTGAACAAAGTTTCTCTAGAACTGAACATTTCACACCAAGCCACTCTGAATGACTTTGTTTACATCTCAATAATTTAATTATGCATACATTTTGAAAAATCACTGGAATTCCTTTTAACTTCCCCTGATCTTAGACCTAACACTCACACTAACCCTCTCTTCAGTCTACAGTTATTACTGTTTTGCTATATTATTCAAATGTACAATATGACTAATATTGGTACGCAATGAACTACATTTAGTTTTGATTTACATTCTATGTAAACAACTTTTGGTCTTTATTAATGTCAAAATATCTCAGAAACATGGCAAAATTGTAAAAAAAATATGCCTTTTAAAACCAAGACTGCAGACACAAAAACATTTTTCATCAAATTCAAATCATAATGTCTGCTTTTGAACACAAATGTACTGTTGTTGTATGGAAGTTTAGAACCCTAAATAGAATTTCTGTCCTATGAATGAGAAATAATCTATATCAGAATTTTCTATGCTTTTGTTTTTGTTTTCATAGTCATATACAGCATCCCTGGTCAAATTACACGTTTTGATGATTTTCTAAGTGAAAATAAGTGAACACATCTTTTACAGAGATCAAACTTGAATATGGAATCTTTCTGCAAAGTTTAGGGCACAACATCTATTTATTTGCTGAGTTTAACATTGAGAAAAAAATGTAGAACGTGCCATAACTTTTCCACAGAGCACATTTTATGTTTATGTGTTTAGCCAATATGTTAAATTCAGTAAATGAACAGTAGTTGTGTATTAAAATGTGCAGAAGTGTGTTCTCTGTATAGAATGTGTTCACTTATTTTCACTTAGAACTTCAACAAAACATAATTTGACCAAGGGCACCCAAATTTTCACATATGACTCAATCTAGCAATCTAGTCTAATCTAATCTAATCTTAACTTTAAACCTGAGTCTGGTCCTAAACCTTAGACCCTGCCACTATTCCTAATCAACTGAGTATGTTAACAGTTTGAGCATCTGCAGATAAGCTGTAGTGGACCATCAAAATAAAGTGTGACCGTCATGGTCTAAATTAAGGCTGCCCAAAGTCAGACCCATGAGCCAGTTGGCCCACAGGGACATTTAATTTGGCCTGCCAGAAGGTTTCAAACCCCTTTACCCAATGAGAGAATGAATATATTTATATATCACTTATTTTCTTTTTTTTGACTTTTGAGTTTTGATTTTTGTTATCAACAAACCATTTAATGTGAAGTAAAATTTAAAAAACCCTTAACGCCACACATTCGTCACTGTGACGCACATATAATAATACGTTAGTAGCTGCCAGTTATGAGCTAATAACAAACATGGACAGTAGTCATTACAGATAGTGGCACAGAGACAGGAGGAGATTTAGGAACTATTGAGTGAAGGATATCTTTGTCAATTTAAAGAGCCCAAATCTTGTTTTTTCCTGATTTTCCCCTCCCCAAAGGTCCAGATACAATGTTTGTGTGGGTTTCTATAACCAAAAACAGTCATAATTCATTTTTACATGACTATTTTAAACTGGCTGTTTTTGTTACTGTGCCTTTAAGACTGATATACAGTCATATGCATATATTGTTGATCTTTGAAGTGAAAAGAAGTAAACATAACATTACAATATACAATTGTTCTGCAAATCATTATACACAGTTACTTTATTTGATTAACTAGCAATTGTGGCATGTGCAAATGTTCTGATACCCCGCTAAGTTTTTGCACCCACTAACCTTTCAGAAGCTTTCCTGCACTCTTCGTTGCGGAATCTTTTTTAGTTCTGTGATGTTCTTGGGCCGTCCTGCATGTACCGATTTTCAGTGATGTTCAAATCATGGGACTTTAAAGTCCAATCCAAAAACTTCAGTGTGCATTTCTGGAAGTAGTTCATGGTGAATTTTGAGATATTTTGGATCATTGTCCATTTGTAGAAGTCAACCTCTTTCTATCGTCAGTTTCTTCACTGGCTATGTCACATTTGCTAATATTTGGAGGAAATTAATTCTTCCCTCAACCTATGCGATGTTTTCTGAACCACTGGCTTCCACACAGCCCAAAAGCATAACAGATCCACCCCAATAATTAACACCTGGCACGGTGTTCTTTTCATCGAATGCTGTCCCCAGAGAGTTACATTTTTACTGCATCAGTCCACAGCACTTATTCCTGAAATGCCTGTTGCTAATCAAGAATTTGGAGTCTTCCAAGCAGATCATGTTTGTGCAAGTAATGCTGCACAGTAGAACAGTACACCACCACTCCTGTTTCAGCTAAACCTTCCTGCACCTCCTTTGATGTCATGTGGGGGTTTGCTTTGCCTTTCTGTTCAGCATATGAGCAGTTCTAATTGAGAACTTTCTTGGTCTTTGAGTTCTTTTCTTGAATTCCTCAGTTCCCCTTAACTGCCATTTCTTGACATTTGGGACCGTGGTGAATAGTGAACCGGAAGTGCTTTGAGACCTTTTTAAAGCACAAGGTTTGAGATTTAGCACAAGGTTCAAAGAGGCAGAGAATTTAGTGCACTCTGGGATAGCCACTGGCTGACGATTCCAAACTCTTGACCAAACTCAATCCCAGCTCTTGACCTGCCTAACCAGTCCTAATATATCAGTTAAGGCCAATCGAGTTGCAAGGCTTAATGACTGGAAGAGTGTACAAACTTATGCACACGCTTTAATAACTTTTTTTCTATTCTTAGGTTAATTAAATCTAAAGTAACTGTGCCAGAAGAATATTACTTTTTAAAATAGTTTGCCGCAGACAGTGTGTTTACAGCTTTTCACCTCAAAAATCAACAAAATTTGTGATTTGGCCTGGAGTACCAAAACGTTTACATACAACTATATGTAAATGATCTCTGTTCTGATTGGCTGCCATGCATTGTATCTCATTCAAAAAGCAGTCTGGGCTAAAACACCTCTTATAACTTTAGTGGGGACGAGCAGAGCTAAACTGCTCTAGGCTAAATAAGTGAATGTAAGTAAATGTGTTGGTTGTTGTGACATCACAAATCGGGCCGTTTAACAGTTTAACACTGATTTTGCAGCTTGGTTTCCATATGTGGGCAGTATGGCCGGTTATATACTACTTCATACTGTTTTGTTTAAAAAAGGCAAAGAAAATGTCAAATTTTCCATGATAAGTAGAAAATAGTCTGTTTCCTGTATAAGAAAACCACAGCAGGATGTAAAGAATACAACATTCATTAACATTACAAACACTAGCTGTGACACTCTGGTAACATCACACTTTTGTCCCCCCAACACAGCAAGTTTGGGCACCCTTAGTATAAATTCAAAAATGCCCCTTTGAAGAAGTCATTTTGCATATAAACGGTTTAAGAAAATCAGGTTTCAGTCTCTGCTACACATTTCCATTCAGTCAGCATATGAAGATTTTATCTCAAATTAAAATGCATTTTCATTTTCAGTCAAACGTCCCACCTGGTTCATTCTTTTCTGAGTGTGAACTGATTTAGCTGCTAATGATCTGATAGTCAGCGGACCCAGAACGAGCCTCTCTGCTGCTGTTTTTCCGGAGCTGCTCCATCATATCTGACAAAATCTGCTCACGGCCAGAATGAAAACCGTGGAATACCAGAAATGCTGTGCACTGTAATTTTTCTCTAAATGGAACAGCAGCGCTGCCAAGAAGCGTGTTTCTAAGGCCGCCAGACGGAGGCCAATAAATAAAGTCTCTCTGAAATCCACAAAAACAAAACAGCCTGAGGTCAATGCAGACTCGTCTGCTTTAAACAGCACATTTCAGCACTACAGTTACACAAGCCAGATCAGTCGATGGAGCGGCTTCACAGAAAATACAACACCATAAAACGTTATTTAGCTGTTTATGGTGCCAGTTTAGTGGAAGTATTTCACTAGTGAGCATCATTTGTTTAGGAATAGTACAGGAAGTTTTAATTTTACACAGTTCTCCTCTTTACTGCAAATATAGTTGATCAGCCAAGTTTGGTGTCTGAAGTTTGCTTGTTCAGTTTTACACAGGAGGTTAATGTAGCTCTCAAGTAATGGAAGTGTATACATATGACAGTTAGCATTGTGCTAACTGTGTGGCTGCCCCAGTGTGGAGTTGTTCAGTAATCTATTACACACACATACATATACATATATATTTAAACACTGTTACCTATAAACAGCAAGTCAAATTTATAATTTATTTTAATTTTTTATTTATTTATTTATGCACTGGGACCCATAAGATCTTAGTTACACAACAGTTTCATACAGCGTGAGGAACCACATCAGCAAGTCTGTTCGCTTGCGATTATTTTGCCGTGCAGTTTGCGTGATGCTAATTGGTGAGATCGCTGCTTGTCTTGGCTGCATTACATTTGCTGTGGGTGGGACAAACTGTGTAAATTCAACTTTTTGCCAAATTACTCCTCAAACTAGCACTATTAAGTAGAACAATCAGAAGACCAGAGCTCCACAACTGGTGTTCTTCATTTAGTTCAGTCGTGGGCTTCATTTTCAGTTGTTTCCAACCTCCCTTGTTTTGAGTAACTATAACGGGGTCGGCAACATGCGCCTCTTTGACTGCCCTGTTGTGGCTCCACAGCAGAATCAGATTTGTAGGTAATAATAAAATAATCCTCCTTTACAGTAAAATAAAGCTCTGCTGATCGTTCAACACAGTTTAACTATAAATGGTCTTAAATGCTGGAGTTAATGCAGAACTGCTAATTCATCCTTTAACCCTCAGACGGCTTGTCACCATAGCAATGCAGACAACAGTCTCGCCTAGCTAGTATCTAACGAAAAAGCAAAGAGAGAGATTTAAGATGAACATCGATAATTTAGAGATAAATGGACTTATTTGCATTTATAATGACTCCAGCTGGTTTCCTGATACGTTTAATCTGCAAGGAGAAACTGTCAAACACTAAAATGTCGTGAAGCTGAAGCAGTTTCTTGGAGTTTCTTCGGCAGTTTCTTGTTTGAATTTTCCCATTCCACCTTAAATGGTGCAGCAGTTACATTCTGCCAACTCAGGTGCCATTTAAGGTGTAACAGGATAATTAATAAAATGTTGTGGCTCCCAGTGTGGTTTGATTTTTGTTGAAAGGACAAAATGGCTCTTCTTAACATTTGGGTTGCCGACCTCTGAACTACAACAACACTGTCCAGTTATGTGGCGTAGCATTTTAAACTGGACACTCAATATTATGTAGCAGAACTTTGAATTTTAAGTCATTATCCCAAAATAATTTTTCACTTTTCGTAAAACCTGATCGCTTGTTATACTGTAATGGTAGGTTAAATCTTTGAGAAAATAAGTCAGTATTTTGAGATACTAAGATACTAAGTTCTGAGAATGTGATTGTTTTAAGATACTCAGTCAAATTATTGCAATAATAAGGTCAATATTTAGAGACTCTCATTCAACATTTTCTGAAAATAATGCATATTTCATGACACTAATTCCATATTTCAAAATAGTAAGTCATTATTTAGAGATACTAAGTGAAAAAATTTGTCATAGTGCTGCCAGAAACAGAGAAAGCAGAAAACCAGGTGATGGATTTCTGCTGTGCCTGTCAGGAACGAGCTTCCATATTTAAGTGAACTGAGACTGTTCATAGTTTTTGGAGACATGCTGACCCTCTTTCTTGTCACACCCCCCTTCCCCATCCAATCACAGCAGTGCATAGTGGAGTTCGGCTTCCCATCCTTTCCCAACCAGGCAGTTGCCATGCGACCCCTGACAACCGTTGCTGGGATACCATTCATGTACTCCTGGTCCCCACTGCAGCAGAACTTCATGGTACTGCGACACTCACACACACACAGCCTTGTTTTTCAGCCACTGAATTGTGTGTGAGCGAGAGAGAGAGAGAGAGAGAGAGAGAGAGAGAGAGAGAGAGAGAGAGAGAGAGAGAGAGAGCGCGAGAGAGATTTGTGATTGGTCATTTGTGAAAATAGGTCACCTTGCATCAATACACACCCGCACTTGTTCTGTTCATGTCCTTTTTTTAATCTTCTCTCAGGTAAAGAAGAACACGGGCCCTCAGAAAGAACACCCACACTCACATAGACTAAAACCATCACTCACCCGCACAGCACTGCAGTCAGAGACCACCCTTTTATTTAGTTCATTTACAGTCAAAACGGCCATTAAGTACAAGTTATATACTTTATAAGAAAGGACGTCAAAGGAAAATAAGGGAAAAAACAGGAGTTTAAAAGAGAGAGAAAATCTGACTCCGTACTACTGTGCAAGACCTGGTAGACACCAAAACTGTCCCCATCAGATAAACAGCACTTAAAGCTTTCATCTCTGAGAGAGAGGAGAAAATCAAGCTGCTTCAGATCTGAAAACATCCACAGGTGTTTCTGTCCATCCTTCCACTGTGAGAAGACGACTCAGCGCTGTGGGTCTGAAAGGATGTGTAGCTGTCAAGAGGATTTCTGAGAAAAGGAGACACATCAAACAAAGAAGCTGAACAATGGACTGATCACCCCAGAGTCCATATCCCAACATCACTTAATGTGTTTGGGATTATTTGGATCGTAAGAATCTGAAAATGCAACCAACTTCTAAGACTGAACTTTGGAGTTGTGTAAAAAATATCAGATTTCTATGAGAAACTGAAAGTGAGTCTCCTGAAAAGAGCAGAAGCTGTAATGAAGGTAAACACAGTGAACACAGTAGATACTGATAAAGTTATATTGCATTCATTGAGGGTTTTGTGTAATTTTCTGTATGTGTTTTCGTTTTTTTTTCACTGAAAAATAAATAACTTGTACTTAATGGCCAATTGGACTGGTTAGGGAACTAGCCTTGTGACCATAAGGTCGCCGGTCCGATCCCCTGAGACCCCAACTGCTCCCCAGGCGCTGTGGATAGAGCAGGGCAAGTGTGCTCACTGCCCCCTAGTCTGTGTGCGTTCACTAGTGTGTATGTGGGAGTTTCATTGCACGAATGAGTAAAAATGTGGAGGTGAAATTCCCCTGTTGTGGGACTAATAAGGGTCACTTAAGAAATTAAGTACTGTATAAAAATGCAGTTGCCAAAACCGGACAGTGCAGTTTTGAGTTCCGTTGTCCGGTTGGTAGTCACATTCTAAATGCGTTCTGAAGTAGAGAGCAGTTCTAGTCTTATCATTGTCTTTCTCTCTCTATCCTTCTCCCATACACACCTACAGGGTGTTCCACTATATTATTAGTACTGTAGTGGATTGAGACTCAGTCTGTGTGCAGGCATACAGTTAAAGCTAGACTTTGTTATGGAGGGGAGAAAGTATCACAAGGCCAGACGTGATCGTTTAGCAAGAAAATCTGGGGACAACCATGAGAAATTTTGGATGTAACGTGGGTGCGAACGTAGACTTATTGGTGTGGTAACAAACTGAGTGTGAAATTTCTTAACAAATCCAATGTTTCGTGCAGACGGAGCTGAGAGTAGTGGGCGATGGTGGCTTCAGTAGGCTTCTATGGAATGAGCTTCCACAAACACATTCATAGACTATGCCATCTATCCATCGGTGCAAATTCAGGGGGGGGGTCGTAAGGGGATGCTTTATGAAATTATGTGAGATAATCTGTGTGAGAGAGCAGGATGGTTGTCCAAAAAAGTGCATTGTTTATGTTATGGATAATATAAAGTATCCATACATGTAATTTCTGTTATTAATATTGTTGTCTTAGGTTTTAATACTGACATGCAGTTGAATGCAAAGGTTTGAACAGGGAATTTTTAGTGCTTAATTTCCATTTAATTGGGTTTAGAAAAAAGAACAGAAAAGATATTTACTATAACATTTGCACAGGATTTTCTTTATATTTAATATTAATATTTTAGATCATCATCATAAGTGAAGTGCTTCAATTAAATAGAGCTCATTTTAACGCTTAGTGGTTTTAAAGAAGAAATACTGGATTAGCATCAGCCGACGCTGTAGATTTCAGTATCAGTATCAGAACAGAAACAGTGGTATCGTGTCATCTCTAGCTGCTAGCACTGCGTGTAGGCTATAGCCTCGTGATGTTGCCCCCCTCACCCCGCCACTTGTCAGACCGAATTTGCACCAGTGCGTCAGACACAGCCTGCGTTTAATAAACAAACAAACAGTGCAGAGTGCAGTGATAGAGTAAATATTTCACACCTTTAACGGCTAAAATACTGAACTGCAGGTTGTGTTGCGAGCAGTACAGACGCATTTTTAACCGTTTCAGTTATGAAATTCGAAGGAAAGCTGTGTTTCAACTCGAAGCAGCCGCCTCTGTATCACACTGAACACCCACTTACACACAGTGATAAACACACACATACAAACACATTCATGCTCACACGCCAAACACCCACACTCACACGGGAACCCACCCACAGATCAGTTCAGTACAACCTTTTTCATACTCTCTCCCTTTCTTTCTCTCCCTCCCTTCCTTCCCCCATTGTTTTGCTCCTTTTTATCCCCTTTTAACTGTCTGGTTCTCTCTCTCTTTTCTCTTCTCTCTTTTCTCTCTCTCGTTCTCTATTTCTCCTTCTCATTCCCGCTTTCTCTTATTCTTTCTTTCTCCCTGTCTTCTTTCTCTAACACCTCCTTGCTCCCATGTTTTTATCTCTTTCTATTTTCTTTCTCCCCGCTCTCTCCTCTCCCTCCCTCTCTTACTCCTCGCTTCTCACCTCTCTCTTTTTCTTTTTTCTTATTATCTCTGTCTTTTTTTTCACCACCTCTCTGTTCTCTTTTTATCTTTCTCTCCTTCTCTCTCTGTCTCTCTCTCTCTCACACTACCCTTTCTTCTCTCCCTCTCTCTTTGCATCCTCTCCCTCTTTCTTTCTCTCTCTCTCTCTCTCTCTCTCTCTCTCTCTCTCTCTCTCAGGTGGAGGATGAGACATTTCTCCATAATATCCCATATATGGGTGATGAGGTACTGGAGCAGGATGAAGCTTTCCTGGAGGAGCTCATTGATAACTATGATGGGGTTCATGGAGACAGAGGTGAGGCTCACATACAGAAACAGCCTCCTGCTTCTTATACCATTACCAGCCCACCCCCTTCTTGATCTTCTCACAAGCCTGAGGTGGGACAAAATCACGCCAACGTGCAAGTCCTTGAAAGGAATAGTTTAGCAAACATGCTAATTTATATACACTATATGGACAAAAATATTGGGACACCCCTCCTAATTGAGTTTGGGCGTTTCAGGTACACCCATTTGCTAACAGGTGGATAAAATTAAGCACATAGCCTTGCAGTCTCCATAGACAAACACTGGCAGTAGAATGGGTCGTACTGATGAGCTCAGTGACTTGAAACATGGCACCATAGGATGCCACCTCTGCCACAAGTCAGTGTGTGACATTTCTATCCTGCTAGTTCTGCCCCTGTCAACTGTAAGTGCTATTATTGTGAAATGGAAGCACCTAGAAGTAACTACACCATAGCCACGAAGCGGTAGACCACGCAAACTCTCAGAGTGGGGCTGGCGAGTGCCGAAGCACACAGTGTCTATCCTCTGTTGAATCACTCACTAAATAGTTCCAAATTTTCTCTGGAAGCAACATCAGCAAAAGAAATGCACATTAGGAGCTTCACAAAATGGGTTTCCATGGCCGAGCAGTTGCATGCAAGCCTTACATCACCAAGCATAATGCCAAGCATCAGATGGTTTGGTGTAAAGCACACCATCACTGAACTCTGGAGAAGTGGAAACGCATTCTGTGGAGTGTCGAATCACCCTTCTCTATCTGACAGTCTGATGGCCGAGTCTGGGTTTGGCGAAGGCCAGTAGAACATTACCTGCCTGACTGCATTGTGCCAACTGTAAAGTTTGGTGGAGGAGGGATGATGCTATGGGGTTGTTTTTTCAGGGGTTGGCCTAGACTCCTTAGTTCCAGTGAAGGGAAATCTGAATGCCACAGACACTCTCCAAAATATTGTAGAAAGCTTTCCAGAAGAGTGGAAGCCATTACAGCTGCAAAGAGGGGACCAACTCCATATAAATGCCTATGGATTTAGAATGGGATGCCATAAAAGCTCCTGTAGGTGTAAAACAAAAATAAAACGCATAGATGAACTCCTCCTGTCTCTCACTGTGCTCTGAATGGCACTGTGTATGTGTTGGGGACAGAGGGAGGCTTCATAAACGACGAGATCTTTAAGGAGCTGGTGGAGGCCCTGAGCCAGTACTCAGACCAGGAGGAGGAGGAGGAGAGCACGGAGGAGGAGGAGGAGCGAGTGACAAGGAGGAGTGCAGGAGAGAGCGCGGAGGACAGCAAGTCGCTGTCCTTTAAGAGGAAGCGCAGAAGAGTTCCTGAGGGTAAGGCTGGACCAGTCACACGCAGCAGCCTAGTGTCCACATTCACAGTGTCCAGAATGACCCAAGCATCTAATGAACATGCGGAGAAATGTGCGGTATTGAATTTGCTTGATTCATGTAATTGATACATCAGCACCTTTTTTATCTTTTTGTTTACTTTTGGCAGTAATTTTGTTGATGTAATATATTTTATTAATATGGAATAATGCATCACCTTTTTCAGTGTATATAAACTTAAGCATATGAACTGTCGGTGGTCTATTTCAGTGCAATATTAAACTACAATGTACAAAATTTAAGCATAAAATTATAGATTACTGGCTCCTAGTTGCATTTCTTTCACATTAATTTTCTGTGTTGAAATGATGTAAAAAAATAAAAATCAACAATAAGGGAGATACATTAAGGAAGTCCAACAGCCCTCTGATTCTTTTTCTTTTTCTTCTGAATGTGCATGTTTCTATCAAATGAGATTGATTTTTTACCAGTATTTAAAGTGACTGATGTGTCTGATCTTCTGTTCTGCTAGGAGGTGAATTGCCTGCCAGTCAGAAGTTCCCTCACGATAAGATCTTCACCGCCATCGCCTCCATGTTCCCTTACAAAGGCACAACGGAGGAGCTGAAGGAGAAGTGAGGCACATTTTTCACCCAGCCTCTCCTAAATAAGCACTTAGACCTATGATAGGTGTGATAGGGTCTCACTCTGTCCAGTTCAGTCCAGTCAGACCATTTGATATACTAAGGATTTATCCAGCAGCACCTGCAGTTCAAAACTGACGCTATACAACTGTTTGTGTATTAAATATCATGAATGTTTCGTCTAATTAACCCTCTGAACTGTTAAGACTTTGTTTGTGGGTCCACAATTCAGTTCCTCCCTCTCATGAATACAGTATGTGTGTTAGTTTTATAGTAGTTATTGTAATAATTAGTATTAAAGGGACCATATACTCAATTTTTCTTCTATGTTATTTTCCCCCAGAGGTCCACTTACAACATTTATGTGAATATAGATACCAAAATCAGTCAAAATTGATTTTTGCATGATAATTTTCCAACCTCTTTATGTATATTAAATTACATTGAATAGTTTGTCTTTCTTACTGTGCCTTTAAGACTGATATGTACATGAAATTTGTTCTGATTGGCTCCCTTATATTGTGCCTCATTCAAAAAGCAGTCCAGACAGAAACACTGCTTAAAACTTGAATGTGAGCAGGTGGGGCTTCACTGCTATAGGCTGAATAGGTGACATCACAAGTTTGTTTGTACATTCATTTCCATATATAGACCGTATGGACTGGGGAATTAATGGTACAGTTTGGAAACTTTAACAGTATTTATTAAAAAAAAAAGTTTTATTAAAAAAAAAACAGAGGAAAACATGTTTTTTCCATGAGCCCTTTAAGATTAAGAACAAAATAATAAGTTTAAGTTTAAGGGATTCATTTTGCTGTTCTCTTCTTTCTCACGTTCTCTTTCAACCTTTCAACCCCTCTCTCTCCCTCTCTCTCTCCCTCCCTCCCTCTCTCTCTCAGGTATAAGGATCTGTTGGAGCCTCCTAGCTCAGTGAAGCTTCCTCCACTCTGTACACCCAACATGGACGGCCCCTTCGCCAAATCTGTTCAGAGAGAGCAGAGCCTGCACTCCTTCCACACTCTCTTCTGCCGCCGCTGCTTCAAATATGACTGTTTCCTCCACCGTAAGAGCCTTTTTATTCCTCTCTCTCTCTCTAATAAATTATAGTATATTATATTTGTATAACAGTTTTCAGTACCAGAATATCATTTTCATTGGTTGAGAATACACATAAATAGATAATAATAATTATTAGATCGGTCAGTCACAATAAGTAATCAGAACGAATCGCATTCTTTTGTGTAGTTAGTTGTGATGAATCGCAGTTGTGTTATTTTCTCAAATGTGATGCCAAAGAAAGCTTCTTTTCATTTGTAAAGCAGTGCACTTCACTATAGCTGTATAAGCTTCATCAGAAAGACTGAACATCACATGATTTCCACAGAGTGACCACAGTTTCCCATTTTCATCGGAGCCACAATGGCTGCGTGTTTCAGTATGAGTGTATATATTTTATATGTCTTACATACAGTCAGTGATTCAGCAGTGGTGATTGTAGCCTCTCGCACTCGTTCATACAGCACATGGTTTCTTGTTACAGTGGAGGCTCTCGAGGGGAACTGGAGCTTTACACTTTGCTGATTCTTTTGTTAGTTTGCTGCTCATTGATTTATCCATAGCTCTCACATAAACTTTGTCCATTGTAATCAGCTAAGGGTGCTAAAGGTATCACTTCAAAAACGTATCAAAAAATGCTTAAAAGCTTATTTAAATGAGAGAGCTTCACTCACGGATTCTATCACAGCAACATACAGTGCGCTGCAGCTGGGCTTCAGCCTGCACTGATACCGATGATTTGAAGGGACATGGAAAATTTTATACAAATTTTTTACAGTAACAAATTATTAATGCATTAACTTTGATAGCCCTAATAAAAATACATTTTACTATTATAATAATACATTTTAGTTAAATGTGTGTGACGGCTTTGTAGGAGTCCGACGCTCGCAGAACGGGCTGTGGTTAAAATGTCTAATAAAGGGTAATCTAGAAACAAAGTACAAGAACAGGCAAAGGGTCACACACAGGCAAACGGGCAGTAAAGGCTAAGATAAATCAGAGTGTAAGACACAAGCAAAAGGTCACAACACGAGAGAGGCAACCAGAGTCAAAAAGGGTCAGGCTAGAATCGTAAACGAGCGAGGAAACAAACCGGAAATGAAACACTGGAACAAAAGGCTTGGTAATGCACAGGAGGCTGATACAGTACTTCGCAAGGAGGCGAAGGAAACACACAGGTTATATATATATATTGGCACATGAACAAGCGACAATCAATAATCAGGTCAACTGGAGCGTGGATGGTCCGTCATACTTACCACCATCTCTGTGTATTCCAGCATGGTTAATATTATTTCTTGCTGTGTAAATTTGTCTAAAGGAGTCTGTGTGTGTGTGCGTGTGTGTGTGTGTGTGTGTGTGTGTGTGTGTGTGTGTGTGTGTGTGTGTGTGTGTACGTATGTGAGCAGCATTCCACGCCACTCCTAACGTGTATAAAAGGAAGAGTAAGGAGATCCGAATGCAGACAGAGCCATGTGGATTAGAGTGCTTTCTGCTGCAGGTACAACAAACTGCTGACGTAAGCTCACCATATTGATACAGTCGTTTAAAAAAGTTTGTGCACCCCCCCTTCTTAAATGACCTGTTCACTTTCTAGGTGAAATAAGTACACATCCTCTACAGAGACCACACTTCTGCACATTTTAATCCACAACCACTTTATTTGCTGAATTTAACATATTGGGAAAAAAACATAAAATATGGCGTGTGCAGAAGTTATGGCACATTTACATTTTTTTTTAATTGGTGGGGTTTGCACTCGCACTTTCATTACTTGGTAGCCACATTATCCTTGTAGCTCCAGCACAAATGTAATATTTTTTCCCTGCTCTCCTCCGCTCATCTTTTCTCTCTCTCTCTCTCTCTCTCTCTCTCTCTCTTTCTCTGTGTAGAAAGGAGCTAAAGAGTTTGCAGATCAGTACATGCTGAGGTCTCAGAGATCTCGTCGGCGACGCCGTCAGCCCCGCCCCTCCAGCTCCACTGGCCCCTCCCCTTCAGGTTCAGCTGAGGAGGGAAAAGATGGAGACAGTGACCATGAGACCACCAGTTCCTCAGGTACACACACACAAACCAAATCACAGGTGCACACTGACTCTTCAAAGTTTGAACATCCCTGGTCAAATTACATGTTCTGTTGATTTTATAAGTGAATAAGTCTAAATAAGCCATTTCTCAGAGAATTTAGTGCACAGCTTCGGTTCATTTGCTGAGTTTAACATGTTGGAAAAAAATTAAAAATAGCATTTTAAGTGTGCCATAACTTTTGCACCAGCCACATTTTATGTTTTATTTTTCCAACATGTTAAATTCAGCAAATAAACTGTAATTGTGCATTAAAATGTGCAGAGGTGTGTCCTCTGTAGAGGATTATTCACTTATTTTCACCTAGGAAAATCAACAAAACTGTAACTTAACGAGGGGTGCCCGAACTTTTGCATACGACTGCATACCAGTAAGGCCACACAATGCATTATTTGAGAAAGGTGTGGCGTAATGCGATAAATAATGATTAAATTAATGTGTTTTTTTCTGGATGTACTGAAATACAGATTGCTTTTTTGGTGTAAACAGGCCTAATCTCTCCTTTAAAGGGAACCCCACCATTTTTTCTAAATATATGCATAATTAAGGTTCATATGTCAGCAACATCGTTCAGAGTGGTTTGGTGTGAAATGCTGTGTTCTGGAGAAACTCACAGAGTCTGAGAGAATGGTTCACCATGGTGGCGATAGGAACCAGACGTCTGAGGAGTTTCATGTCTCTATAAGCTCCCTCACAGATAGTGATTACAGGAAATGGTTATAAATAGACAGCCTGATCTCTGAGACATTGTTTACTGTACTTTTGGTATGAAGTTTTGGTCTAAAACATATTTTAATCAATTTATTTTAATCCATTCAAAGTGGAGGGATACATGAAAGGGTGTTCTAAGGCAAAATGGAAAAGAAGAAAACTTTATTTCATAAAAATAATTATTTCAAGTTTCATAAAAAACTCAGAAGACATATGAAGGTTCACTGGTTTCAGCACAGTCCTCATGGGAGGGCAGGGTTCAAGCCCAGTGCTAGGAAGCTAACATCACGTTCCCACTAATCTTATTATGTCACGTTAATAGAAACGCCTGCCTTTACTTAGAGTTATTGGCCATTTTACACCTAATATAGGTGCACTTTGTAAGTTTATTCCAGCTCATCTGTTGTTTACGCAGTTTGTCAGCCTCTTTCTACCCCATCCATCAATGAAAGCGACCACCATAGGACCACTGCTGACCGGTTATTATTTGAGTGGTGGCCCATTCTCAGAGCAGCAGTGACACTTGACATGCATACCAGAGGCTTAGCAACTGTTAAGAAGCAAATGTGGAACCAGGCAACAGTATCATTAGAATGCATGAGCTAGTTTATGATCATTCAGAGTGAATAAAACAGCGTGGTATGGACCACATTTTCCCGAAGTGAGAATGAAACTATGGATGGCAAATGTGTTTTTTCCTTCTTACAGCAAAGTAATTAGCTATTACGGACGAACAGCAGATGCCAGATGAATCTCTTGAAAGCTTCTGCAATTCGCACTGTATTATTAGAGCTCCATGAGTTTTTAATATGAATATACTGTTGACTAGTATCATCTAAAGAGGCGGCCTTGAGTCAGAGGATTTCCAGGTAGATGATAGAAATGACATGGTGGAAAAACACAGAAAGGGATGAAAAATAGTATTTTTAATTGCTAAAATAAAAATGGTTGCTCATAAATAAATTGTATTATATGAACACAATAACTGCCAAAACAAGTACACTTAAGGAAGGCAACTGAGTTGATGTAAAAAATTTCTTTGGATGCAACCACTTGACCCAATGAAATCAAAAACCTCTTATTTCAGTGTATCGGCTGCTGAGCTGTTGAAGTACTACTTTTTAATTGGAGGGGGTGCATAATATTTGAATGCATGTGATGTATTACATTCAGGTGTAGCCGGTCACATCCTGGATATTTTGTAGAAAATGGATTAAATGGCCACTCTTTTTTGAAATCTAATTAATGTATTGTGATATTGTATTAAAGTATAACATATTGTAATAAATTAGCATAATGTAATATATTACAACACAAGCATAAGATGCAGGAGTTGCTTAGTAAGTGTAACTGTTAACTGATTGTTATTAACTGATCAGTTGATCAATTTAACAGTGTCTGATTATTGGAAGACTGATGTCAAATGCGGTTTCCATTTGAATCTATATATACAGTCATATGCAAAAGTTTTGGCACCCCGATCAAATGTGATTTTCACAAATGTGATGCAGGGAACATTTTATAGTTTATGTTTAAGTGTTGTGTTAATCCTTCTTAAAATTCCTTTTAATGCTGAATACTGAATACTGCCTTGCTGGACAGGCCGTACTGGACAGCTTTTGTGTCTGAGAGTCTTCAATTGGCATCCACAGCTTAGTACCATGACGGTCCTGATGCCCAGAGAAAACAAGCACAACAAAGAAATTACCTGTCGTTTACCAAAACATGCATTTTCTCTAAACAGCACAAATTATTTTTTTCAAATGAGCATATGTGCCTTTAAACACATTGAGTGAGTTTACATGCACTTTATAATCCGATAACTGCAGAGAATCAGAATTGTCAGTAATCTGATCAATGCATTTACATGCACTTGAGTAGTCAGATAACGGGGAAACTCCAGGTCTACATGAGTCAGACAGTGATCAGATTTCTGCTTTGCAACCAGCCAATAAACTCACAGAAGAAGACCTGAAGGGACGTAAATGTGGTTGGTGTAGTGTGGTGGTTAACACCTCAGCTTTCTATGCTGTAGACTGGGGTTCAGTCTCTGTCTGGGTAAGCACCCTATACTATACCAATAACAGCCCTTGGGCAAGATTCCCAACTCTGCCTTCACCTACCTGTGTAAAATGACCAAATTGTAAGTCGCACTGGATAAGAGTGTCTGGCGAATACCATAAATGTAAGCATAATGTAAAATTTAAACTTCATGCTGTGGCTTTCTTTTAAAACTTTGCACCACTTTACCTGAAAATATGAACGTACATCGTTTAGAAGATGAAGAATATTTAATCCTTCATTTCATCAATTATATAGTTAATTTCAAAGTCACCCTAAAAGTGGTTTGTTGCCGTTCTGCGTTAAACTCTGCTTGCTTATTTCTGATACCACAGTCTGTTTGGGCACTTTGACTGAGAAATCCGAAAGAAATCTGAGTAAGAGTTTACGTGCACTGATAAATCTGATTACTGGGCTAAAATCCAGCTCTCTTTATCAGATTCCCCTAATCAGATTACTAGACCTTAATCCAATCTAAGAAATCAGAGCGTGCTGTTTACATGACCATTTGAATAATCAGATAACTGCAGAAATCTGATTATGATCGGATTACTGAGTGCATGTAAACGCACTGATTGTAATGCTTGCATTTGCATTAGAGCTGGCTAACTAATTCTAGTTTTATCAAGAAACAATTATCAGTAAATCATTTTCTGAGAGGCCGTCTTTTAAAGTATGGAAACAGCAGCTCTGTTGCAGTGAGAGCGACCAGAGAACAGAGATGAAGCAGCACTTCCAGTCAAAAATAGCTCAACTCTCAGAAATAGCTTTACTGCTCTGGAGATGTGTGCAGAGCTCCATCATCCCAGCAGCCCTGCAGTTTATAGTGCACTGAAGAATCAGGACTGAAAAAAGATTTTAAATATCAGTGCTAAAAATAAGAATTTTTAATTTAAAAGCAGGTCTGGAAATAAAGAATTTTAAGAAAAAACGTGCTGAAAATGCAGACTTTGTATAAAAAAATCAGCTCTAAAAATAAAAAAATTAGCACAGAAGCTGATTTTACAGCTTGAGTAATAAGATGAATAAATATTTCATTTTACACTGAGTTTCCATTTTATTAGAAATACACACTGGACACTTCATTAAGTGCACCTCTTTGTATCTACACTGTGTATCTCTTTGTATCTACACTGTGTGTTGTGCTGGTAAGAGTGGATCAGACACAGCAGTGCTGCTGGGGTTTTTAAACACTGTGTCCACTGTCCACTCTATTAGACAATAGCTCAACTGTTGCTGCACAGTTTGTGTTGGTCATCCTCTAGTCCTTGATCAGTGGTCACAGGACCCTATTGGCTGGTTATTTTCAATTCTCAGTCCTACAGTGACAGAATGATCCACCACCCAAAAAAACCTGCTCTGTGGTGGTCCTGTGGGGGTCCTGACCATTGAAGAACAGCCTGAACAAAGTATGCAGAGAAACAGATGGACTACAGTCTGTAATTGTAGAACTACAAAGTGCAATTAAATGATAAGTGGAGCTGATAAAATAAACAGTGAGTGTAGATACACTTTGTAGGTTCACAGTTAGAAATTGAAGCCCATCTGTGGCTAGACAATTTATCACCCCCCCCCCACCCCATCCATCAGTGCATAGGGACCACCATAGGACCCCCACTGAGCAAATATCTTTTGGACGCTGGTCCATTCTCAGCACTGCAGTGACACTGACATGGTAGTGCATGTGGTGCTGGTACGTGTGTATCAGGCACAGCAGTTTTGCTGGGGTTTATATTTGAAGACAATTTACATTTCTCTCTTTCTTTTTCTGTCTCTGTTGTTTTGCGTGTGTGCCCACCTGCATGTGTGTTAGAGGGTAACTCTCAGTGTCCCACCCCCACCAAACTGAAACAGAGTGATGAGCAGGTGGAGGATAGTCAGCCTCCTCTGCAGTGGAGCGGCGCAGACGAGAGCCTTTTCAGGGTCCTACACGGCACGTACTACAACAACTTCTGCTCTATAGCACGACTCATAGGCACCAAGACCTGCAAACAGGTACACCCACAAACAGGCACGCACTCCAGCAGCGTACACATAACCACAGAAAATACAGCAGATAACGAGGCCCAATCCCGTTTTTTATTTTTACCCCTACCCCTTGTTTTTGTCATCTTGCCCCTTGGAACGGAGTTACAAGGGGTAGCGGTTGAAATCTTCCCTACGAAATGGGACCCTCAAATAAAAAGAGCATTACTTCATTAACAGCTACTGGTGGCGCTCTATAGGCGACCCTGCCAGTCTGCAGTGACAGCAGAGGAGGGTAAAGTTCAGCTCCTCACTGCGGGTCTTTAGTTACATTTAGGGCATCATATGCTTTGAAAGAGAGGGGGCAATTATTTATTATCACCCTCCCCTAATTCTTCAGTGATACGAAGCTGAAGTCAGATATTCACCAGCTTTCTCGTTCCACCTTAAATGGAGCAGCAGTTACATTCTGGTGCTTCAGGCGTCAGAACTGCTGGACTATTTAAGGTGGAACGGGAAATTTAGCTACTGATACATTAGCATACTAGTAGTGATTTTTTTATGGTTGTTCTGAAGAAAAGGACCATAATACACTGAAACAACATTAAACTAAGATAATACGATGGTTATCGTAATTTGTTAACGGAGAAAATTCTCACATTTGTGGGTTTCTTTGGTCTCTTGCTCAGCCGTCTTGCCAGTTTTTCTTTTTTCCTCACAACACTCTGTTCGGAGTGAAGCTCTGAAAAACCTCAGTTTGGAGGGCCATGTAGCCCTAATACTTCACCCTACCCCTCTATCTCAACACAAATAGGGACACCCTACCCCTAAATGTGAATGCGCAACATGGAGGGCTAAGGGCTAAGTGGTAGGGGTGAAAAGGGATTGGGACTGTTAGCATTTCTAACAGTAAAAAACCAACACTGTGGCTACACCCACCAG